TTGAATATGAAGAGAAAAATACTTCAGGAAAAAATATTATATAAGGAACTTGGTTAAATCAAAATAATTAATGATACTTTATCTTGGATATATGAGCAAATAGCTATAGAATGTATGGCTTTACACCCATGCACATATATATTATATACATATATGCATACACATAAGTATGTATATATATTTTTTCTTCCAATAGGTTGAAATATCCTGGCAATTATGGATATAAAATTACCATTTGGATTAAAATATAGAAATAAAAAGCTATATTCTGAGACATTTTTTGAAGTTATCATATATGCTGCTGCTAAAATCATAAAATAACCTATAAATATAGACTAGATAAGAAAATACAAAATGAAGAAATGAAGGACTTTCACAAGAAAAAGAGGAAGGAATGGCCATATTTAGAAATAAGATGGGGTGGGGACCAGCAGGTGACTAGTGGTTAAGGTGTTGGACTCCCACATGGCTGACCATAGTTCAAGTCTTGGACTCAATGGCTTAAAACTCACACCAGGCACATGTGTGTGTATGCCCAAAATCAAGAGGAGAATGGGAGAGAAGTGATTGCAATGTGGCCATCCCCGTTAGGTCCCCCTTAGGTGGTGATTTTTTACTTTCTCTCTCTGTGTGTCTCTTTCTGTCTCTCTTGCCAGCACATGTGCCTTATGGCAAAAGGAAAAAAAAAAAAAAGAAAGTTTAATTATTGGGGGAACCAGCAGTTAGCGTAATGGCTATGTCGCTGGACTCCCACGTAGTCGACCGCGGTTCACGTCCCGGACCCGGTGGCTTAAAACTCACGCCGGGCGCGTGTGCGTGCGTACCCAAGATCCCGAGAGGAGAATGGAGGAGAAGGGATTGCGGCGTGACCATCCCCCCTGGGGGGTGATTTCTCGCTTTCTATCTCTATGTCTCTCTCTGTCTGTCTGGCGAGCGCACGCGCCCTACAGTGAAAATCTCTCAAAAAAAAAAAAAAAGTTTAATTATTGGGTCAGTCAGTATTTTTCTATATTTTTCTATGCAGAATTTCAACATAATTTTTCCAACCACTAATATTTAAGAAGAGAAAAAATTATTTACTAAGGGAAAAAGATAAAAAAGTGATATAATTAATAGACAACTCAGGAAGAAAATCAATGAGACAGGAAAAATTTAAAAATTTTAATAGAAAATACCTTTCTTCAAAAATGCACTATTGGGGGAACCAGCAGTTAGCGTAATGGCTATGTCACTGGACTCCCACAT